CTCCACTCCACTCCACTCCACTCCACTCCACTCCACTCCACTCCACTCCACTCCACTCTTTCCTGTTCTATTCTATATCTCGTCTCTCTCTCTCTCTCTTTTTTGGAAACCCGTTCAACTCTTGGTTCATGCTCTGCCCACAAGGAAGCCTGATCTAACCTTTCTCTCTCTCTCCCCCTCCTGCAGCTGCATTGGCGTCGGCAAGGCCATCCTGGCCCCAGCTCGCCACCTCACCAACCGGCTGACGGGCAAAGCGGCGAGGGGCTCTCTCAAAGTGAAGCGCCAAGAAGGGGCATCCCTTGAGGGAGCCGCCCAGCTCTTCGAGAAGTGTGTGCAGCTGGTGCGTGCCACCTTCCAGCCGGTGCCCCGCTGAGTGAGGGTGGCCTTTGCCATCGCACACACACACACACGAGAGAGAGAGAGAGAGAGAGAGCACCAAGCCCAGGAAGTGGACACAACGAAACGGAGCCGTTCCTCCTCCCATGTGCGTTTCCTGCCCAGTACAGACAACACAACCGCTGGTATGAGGCAAAAGAGGGCAATCCATGGCGCAATGCCAGCTGGACCCTACCTGCTGCAAAAGGAATTGGCCTCAGAAGACCCGGGACCCTCAAAAACTCGGGGGCACCGGGGCTTCAGTGGGCGGCTGATGGTACCGAGCCCCAAACGAAGGGACGACGGGGAGAGGTGAAGCCGCAGCCAGGTGGGGATGTCCAGGTGACGTCCCTCACCTCTCAAAGCAGAGGGGGCCTGAGCAAGACTCCTCTGGTGGGGAGGGGCAGGGGTCTTCCACCCCACCCCAACCATGGTCTCCTTGCAAAGAGGGGCAGCCTATAACTTATTTGGGGAAGGGACAGTGTTGTGGGGCCCTGAACGATGTCGCAATAACATGTTTTCTAAACGTGGCTTGAGGTCGTCTTGGTTTTTTTGGGGGGGGGGGGAAGAAGGAAGGACACCAAGAAGTAGGTGGGGAGGGGGCATCAGGCGTGGTATTCAGCCAGTTCTGGAGAACTGGTAGCGGAAATTTGGAGTAGTTTGGAGAACCAGCCAATGCCGCCTCTGACTGGCCCCGCCAACCCCATTTATTCTCTGCCTCCCATTGAGTCCCGGCTGATCAGCTGGGTCTCCTTTGGTTGCCCTGCATAGGAGAACGGAGCTGAAAAGCAGGTTAGTGGCGTGCGGAGGGAATGGGATTTTGCAGTACATCCTTCTGCCACGCCCACCAAGCCGTGTCACACCCACCAAGCCACGCCCACAGAACCAGTAGTTAAAAAAATGTGAATCCCACCTCGGGGGGGGTGGGGGGCATCGCCTCTTCTCAGCCGCCCACCGTCCCCTGCGCTTTGAGGGCAGACACGGCCTCCTGGAGCATTTGTACGATGATTTATTGGGGAGTGAGAGAGAGAGAGGTAGGACAGATTGTCTCAACTCTGAACTCATCCCGGGGATGGTCCCCAATTTGGAGAGAGACCAGCCCTCCCATTTCACAGTTCTCTCCGGCTCCCCCCCCCCAACCGCCAGAGTTCTACATTCCAAGTTGCCCCTCGTCTTCAGCCTTGGCTTGAACCCCTTCCTGGGCATGGCTGGGATTCTGCTGGGGGTGGGGGCTCTCCATCACCATGAGCCTGGCTGGGCCCTCAGAGCTTACAACATGGAAGCCTCCGGAAATGGCCTTCTCCTTTTCTCCGTATTGTACTCCTCTCGCTCCGTCTTCAAGCGGGAGCTTCTGAGCTCATCAGCCAAGGAATCTTCGGGCTGCTTCGGATGAAGGGGAGGCCGAGGGGCTTCCTTCCTGCAGCTGGTCCTCCCTGTGGCAGGCCAAAACAGTGTTAGGGGGATCCAGTTTGGGGTTCCAACCTCGGTGTTTGGTGGGAGAAAGAGCCGTCCCCAAGGAGGACGTGGGGCGAGCAGCACAGGAGGGACAGGATCCATTGGTTGGGCTCCGATGCAGACACAGGGCAACGGATGGGACGGGGTGGCACCATGACAGCTCCATGTCTGAGTCTGCACCCCATCGGGACAGCTGCAGTGAGCGTGTGCAAGGCAGGCCAAGAGAGGAGTGGGCATAGGGCGTTGTCACACACACACTGATGCAGGATGGTTGCCTGGTGGGCTCTGCCACCTTAGTGTCTGGTGTCGCAGCTGTGGTTATTGTGGGGGAACCCCTCTTGCGGGGAAGTACTAAACAGGGCCGCGAGCCCGGCCGTGGGGCTGGTGGGACTCATCCTTCGTCCAGGCTGACTCGGGTCAGTGCTATCACGCCGGGAACCCATGACCCGATCCACCGTCTCCAAACGCACAGCGGGCAGCAAGCCCAGATTCCGCGGATCGGCTCGGGATAGCGGAGTCTCCTCAAAGCGCCAGCTTGTCCGGGCCTGGGAGGTGACAGAGGAGGAAGAGGAGGAGGAGGAGGCCTCAGCGTTCTGCGCCATCTCCCGCGACTTGGAGCGGTGCCGTGGGCTGTCCTTGGAAAACTGGATGCTGGGAATGTCCGCCTTCAGAATGGTGCTGTGGCGGCGTCCCTGGGGCGAGGGGCTGCGGCTGGCCCCTTGGTCACGGCTGGAGGATCGCAAGAGCAGACCCTGGAACTTAGCCAGGCTGGGGCTGCGGCTGCGGTGACGGTGCATCTTGCCAGGGCTGGGGCTGCGGGATTTGGGTCCGAGGAGCACTAACGTGCTGTCGTCGTCCTCTTCAGAAGTGCTGTTGGTGCTGTCCGTGGCACTGCTGACTTGCTCCAAGGTGGGCAAAGAAATCTAGGCCAGGAAATTGAGGGGAGGGTGTTATGATATGTACAGAATAACCCTTGAGTATCAAGGATATGCACATGGAAACATTTATGAAAGTAGTTATGAATAATTATTCAGTCACACAGATACACTAAATTAAGTTAAAGTTTACTTTAAGAAATAGCACAGTCCAATAAACGGTCCAGGTCATATACATTTTACAGTCCAAAGAATATCCAATTACAAAGTCTTCTTACCGGTAGCATTTGTCATTTACAACAAACAAAGATATCAAAGTATAAGCTCAGCATAAATACAAGAGAACAAAATGTCAGAGAGACAGGACGTCAGAGAAACAGAATGTCAGAGAGAGAAACCATGATCTCTAGCTCCCTCTTATGGCAATTCGCAATACAATCAACCATTCAGAACATAGTACAAATCAATACAGTGACTTTGTCTTAAAGCTACAAACATACATTGTTGGTTGATATATTGCCAACCCAACTAATTGGTGGACAGATTCCTAACAGAGAGTGGGAGGAAAGTCAGTTTTCCTCAAACCACAAACACTGTTCGTACATCGTCTTGGACTCTTGGAACAGAGTTGCTCTGTTCACACAATATACCAACGCACCTTCGGAGGATGCCTGGGTCACCCAACATGCAAAGACAACCATTGGGTTCCCAGAATATGCTGACCGTACAAGCACTCAACCCGGTGTAGTTCTTTGTGGAAACACAGCCACACAAAGTTGTACCCAACTTGCTATGGCTAATTTGCCAGGACCAAGTTGCCATGGCCAACTCGCTGTGGGACTAATATCGTCACACTAATATCGAACAAATAGTGGACTAGAATAATTAAAGGAGGGACAAAATGAAACGGGGATGACAAAAATAATTGTTTAATTCTTTTCAATAATTGCATTAAATTGTGGAATTGTCCTGGGGTGACTTGGCCATGGTGAGTTGGCCGCAATGAAGTGTCTCATCCCATCCCAGACAAGGGCCTCCTAGCCAAGAGCACTGGCACATTGCTGGTGCAGCTACTAAATGACCAGAGTTCTCGTATGCTGTTGTGGAACACAACTGGATTTCAACAGGAATGAAAGTAATAGAAAAGAACAACACATCCAATTCTACGGACATTAGAACTACAGATTGCAATTATGACCGAATTGGGAGTGCAATTTTGGCTGTCAGTCATGCCAATCTTAAGGAAACCAGCAACCAATGTCACCAATCATTGTTTTCTGTGTCTATGGGACACTGCAACCAGGCATAAATGTGAGCTGGTTGCCAAGCACCAGAAATGCAGTCATAGTCATTGACCGAGACACAGTCATGCCATGTAAATGGAAAGTTGCTCACCTGGAAGGGATCCGTCATGCCCACCATGCAGCTGCAGTTGTTGCTGTAGTAGCCAAGGATGTAATCCCCCTTCCCTTTAGGCAGGGACTCCTCGGGGAACGTTAGCTAGAGTTGGAAGAGAGAAAAAGAGTAGGGGAGATGGAAGCCCAGCAGAAAATGATCCACAAACCAACCAACCAACCATTCTAATAATTCTAATTCATATTCTAACTCCAATTAACTCTAACACTACTCTAATTCTAACTTTTACTCACTCTTACTCCTACTCTTCCATTCCACTCCACTCCATTCCATATGTTCTATTCTATATTCCATATTATTTTATACTATTATTATTATTATTATTATTATTATTATTATTATTATTATTATTATTATT